ATATAAGGGAAGGGAAGCGGTATCGAAATCTTGACGGATATTCGACGAAACGAAAAGCCTCCTCCATATAGGAAAATAACGAAATCCTTCGGATTCCACGCTGAGGTTTCCACGTCTAATAATAGCGGCGGGCTGGTCGCGCCAGCGCGCTCCGCTCGCGTACGTACGCAAGAGAGGAGGCCGGTGCGGCGACGCATTTGAGGAAAGGAGAATGGAGAAATAACGCGAGAAGAATGTCCGTGGAACGACCGAATAGACGCGTCAAGAAAGAGACTCCGAAGAGAACGAGCCACTATGTTGGAGCTGCAACGTCAAACGGGCACCGAACAGAGGCATGCGTTGAAAAGAAAGATAAAAAGAGGGACGAAAAAAAGGGTGGAAAGAAATGATCCCAGGAACAGACTGTCAGAGGGCTGTCTTTCAAAACCTGAGAGATCAATTGTGACCGCTCATGAGTGATAATTAGGGCGGGACGAAACATAAAAGCAGAATTGAAACTGTCAAAATTTGTGCTTAATCAAAAAATTTTTTGAAACAATAATTTAGAAGTAATAGAAATTTACAAAAATTAATCATTTTATGTTTCTTTTTCGAAAAATCATTGAGAAAATTTTGTTGGAAAGGTAGAACGGCTCGTGAACCGTGTCTTACATGATCAGGTTTCGAAATAACCTTGATCAGGTTTTGAAAGATGACTGATCAATGAGCATTCATAAATACTCAGCTTTTGGAAGACGGACAGGAGGACGGAGGGGATGAAAACGCCGCCGACCGGCATTTACCAATAGCCGCACAATCAAAGTTATGGCCAGAAGGAAATGAATCTAAAAATAAAGCGTATATTGGGCGAGTCGCGGCCTGCCAAGAAAGAAGGAAAGAGAGGAAACGAGCGGAGAAATAGAAGAAAGAGAAAGATCCTTGCAACGATAGAGGAGGAGCGTAGAGGGGAAGAGGTCCGAGGACGGGGCGCCGTGGAACATGTGCGGTTTGTCAGAACAGTGGGGCAAGGGGCGAGTGGTGGGGAGCGGCGGAGCGAGACGAAGGTAGCCGAGCGTCTCCGGCGGGAGAAGATGGCGAGGAGTGGGGGTAGAGAGCGGCAAGTTAACGGTAGAAGGGGGAGCAGCCCGGCGCCGCTGCGTGTCATTGCTGGCGCCAGCTAATTGTCGAGGCCAGTCGGCATTAGCCGACGAGCTGACCGAACTCAGCCGAACCGAACGCACCGCACCGCATCGGCTCTCTCCGTTTGTTAGCCGGCCAGTCCGGCGTTCATGATCAGGCGCGCCGAATCTGTTTCCAGGCTGCTCTGTTTTATTTAGGAATTTTTCATTCTTCAATCAATTTTCAATCGCTTTAATGTGAAAATTAAAAATCTTTAATCCCTTTTTATTATAGCAGATTTCAGTATCGTTGGAATTAGGCATAATGAATAATTTTTATTTGAAAGTTATTCGACTACCAGTATTGATTTAAAATCCTTTCCCAGTGGGAATTGGGAAGATAGATAATAATCCATTGTAGAAATAAATGGTAGTCGAGGAAGAAAGATTTTGGGGCTGAGAACTGGCAAAGATATGTACTGGCTGAACTGGTCCCGTTCACAGGTAGTTTTCAGGAACACGGGATTCGGGGTTCAGGGATCGCTCGATTCTAGGCCAGGCTGCGTTCTGAAATCAAGATAACAAGTTTCTTGATCCTTTTCGCTCGGAGAAAACAGAAATTTGAGAATGCGGTTGGGTTTGGGTTGTTGTGCTGGTTAGAGATATTCGAGGAATGTGCTAGTATTACGAGGGTAAAGTTCTGTGTATGTACTTACATACCTCTGTAATTTATCACTTTTTAAGGTAATCAAAAACGTTATCGATACACTAGGTTATTTTAGTATTTTAAGTTCAAAATTATTAGAAAAATTAACCCTTCATTCGTGTTATTCATTTCTTTTTTATTAATACAAAAATATGAATTTTATCCTGTTGCAAGCAACAACTTACCGTTTGCTTTTAAACTACAATTTTATTTACAATAATAAACCATAAAATAATAGTTCTATAGTCTCAGCAATGTCCATAACTTATATTTAAAAGAAATTAAAATTCAATTTTTTTAAATCATGCTTTTGAATTATAATTTGAATAAAAGATACTATTCAAATATTTTGGTATAATATTTAATATTAAACAGGAATTTTACAAACGCAGAGGCGCTTTAAATACGTAAATACAGTAGAGTACTAGTTTGTCAAGGGAATTTAATAATTTATTAATGCCCCGTGGATTGGTTTTGCGCGCTCTAAGTCGTGTTTCCTAGCCGCGAATATAATTTTCTATCGTAAATAGTGTCGTCAAACATTTTATGACCGTTGAAACATGCTTAGAACGTTCCTCGACATTTATCGAAAGTGAATCGCATTTCGCGGTGGCGCCAACACGGCACAAACGTGTGTTGTCTGGATCTGTTTTACGTCCGATAGTATACGAATGTTATGGCGCCGTTTAACAATTCACCTTCGACAAATCGATTATCAGACTGACGGGTGTCGTTACGCAAATAATTGTCGCACTTACATCACCGTTTCCATCTATTCAGTATTTTAAATAATTTCCTTTTGCATTTCTTATTATTGTTACTCGAACGTAATCTATTCATATTTTTGTTTGCTCGATTTGTTTTTAAACCCCCAAGATTTGGACACTTTTGAAATGACATTATCTGAAGTATCATTTCGAATAACATGTTAGTTTATTTCATAATTTTTTCGTTGTTCAAATATCACTGTGTTACTTTATTGCAATAATTACTGTTTGTCATTATTCTAGGAAGGGTAATTTTTAATCTAATTTTTCTTTAATTAAATATAATTGAAGATTTGGAATTGATGTTACAAAATTTAAGATAAATCTTGAGAATTTTTCATAAGCAGTATCTGCTCATTAATTCTCATATTCATTACTTAAATTTAAACATAGCAAATGATTTTAAAGAAAAAAATGATCATGTTATTATAATAAATACTTCAATTTTTCGAAATTATAAAATTATAGCACTTAAGATTTCTTTCGATAATTACGATAATAAAGAAACAGAATCGAATAAATTCATTAATTGATTTAAAAATACTAACATTGAATTAGTATTGGTCTTTAATGGGTAAACCCACCATTCATACCTTTGGTGAGCGCGCAAGGCGATGCCGAGGCAAGGTCACCGCGTTTTTGGCAAACTGCAACAAGGTACGGTGCAGAATTTCAAACGGACAGTGAGTCAGAAATGTAATTTTAATTGATTCGTCGCCTGGTCGCGTACAAGAGTCAGAGTAGCTTCTTTGTCCTGAATATTACGCGATGTCACGAGGCGAGACGCGAGTCTCGGGAAACGCGAGCGCGGACTTTCTCGCGGGTATAAATAAGTATTAAAAGCATCGTTTCGAGGAACGTTCTCGTTCTTACGTAATCGATCATGGTACATGATGCATTTGCCGTTATAGGTTAATGCACATGAAACGCGTCGAATTCTTATCAATTTCTTAACACTTTACTCCTTATGGCGCGGCGTATGGAAAATTTTGCAGCTGTTTAAATTTATTATTAAAATAATCGGTAATTGATCTATTTAATTTTATAAAATATAACTTGTGGAAATTGCCAATGAAGGTATTATTTTATGATTTTTTATAGCAAGTTCATTGATATTTAACGCATTAATTATTAAATATTATTATTTTTTTTAAGAAAATATATTCGTCTATTAATTATAAATAATTTTATCGGTGCAAATGTACTTTCGTTCTTTTAAAGAATAAAAGAAACAGCCGATCTAATAATTGTAAGCCGGGTTTTGTATCACGAAATCGGCCTTGCTGGCTAATCGTATTGCAGATTTCGTCGTTCCTTGAGAATCACATCAAACGCGACGATGGCGTCTTGTTTTCTCAGGCGCCATCGTATCTGGTTACCTTGACGATCTCCCGATTATTCGCGCCACGATTTGTCCTCTATGCTTTCAGGGCGATACGTAAAAGGACGAAAAAGTAACGTACCGGTTTCCACGGCCAATAATAGAATCGTCCAGTTTTGGAGTTGTCGCTTCTAACGGGCATCCTTTCTGTCAGCTGTGAGCCCCGAGTCCCGATGAAACTTTATTTAAACGAAAAACAGAAGCCTTGAGTCGGATTCTCGGCTCGGTTTCTCGGTCGACGAGTATCCGTTTCGGATTAAAACGGAATCGGGACGCCAGTGTAACGAGATTCACACAAAAATAGATTTATCGAGTTGGCGCCGTTAATAAATGTCTTCGTTTCGATTTAATGTCGCGTTTCCTGTCGATACTGCTTAACCAGTTAAGTGTCCGTTTTTGTTATAGTTGGAAACGTGATACGAGCATGTTGCAAGCAGATTCAAATCCGATTGAATAGTTTCAAATATAATTTGTTAAATAGGATTTATTTGGAATCAAAATTTACAAATTTGATTTGATATAATTACAAACCAAAAAAGATTTTTTTATTGAAATTTACAAGAATTTTTCTAAAAAATTATGCAATTTCGCTTTATAGATAATAGAGAGAAAAAATTAATAACAACTTGATTAATTTAAAATGAATATGATTCATGTTGTGAATTAATCAGCTTCTTCAATGAATTCTTCAGACTAAATCAAAATAGAATTTATAATAGAAATAGCACTGTTATTATAGTAATCACGTGGAATAAGAGATTGAAAGCTTAATTAGAAAATTAAATCTTCATGTAGTTAATAATAGTTCCTGTAATATGCCGTATCTGGCTATTTTTATTGTAGTCATCAAAGTGTAGTCCTCCCACATCCATTTATTGCATTAATTACAGAGCATTTACTTTAATTTTTTTTCTCTAAATTTATATGTATTACCAGTCACTGACAACATTCAACTTATAAAAATTTGCTTGTAAATATTAAAGAAAATAACTAATTTTTAATAGAAGTGTCATTTAATTTATTTATGTTTCTTCTTTTTTTTGTTTTAGAGTCGCCGCCACCCCCGTACTGCCTTATTGCCGACAGACTGAGACCCGAAGGTGAGTGTCTTCACTTCACATTTTAATCGTGCATGCGTTTATGTATTCGTGGGCACATTCCATGCTTGGTTCGTACGTGAACACATGGAATGCAACCACGCAATCGTTTGAGCGATAACTCATGTTTATTACTCGCAAACGTTTAGCATTCGTGCCACGAGGATCGTCCTTTTAACGCGCCTGACATCTCGCGACCTAGCTCAAAGCAGAATCCAAACGTAGAAATGCATTTTAACCCCTTGACTTACACATTTTTTTCCATTTTTCTTACGATTAAATACGGTAGAATTGTCCCTTGAAATTTTTAATTTACACAAAATTAAAGTTTTAGAGGATTAAATTCTAAAATTAAATTTTACTACCAGGAAAGCTAGAAAGATTCTAGTTACAAAAAAAATTATATTTTATTGTTAAGAAAATCGAATTCCAAAATTACACTTTTCATATTTAAGCGTAAAAATTAAAATTTCTCTGCTTTGAGCTATTATTTTACATAATTTTAAATAAATCACTACGAATTAACGAGTTCGTCTAACTAAATCACGGTTAATGTCTCGAAGGGGTAATTAGAAAATTATTGCAATTAACTATAATTTCCATATGAATAAGCCTACAAAGTCCCGCCGGATCTAGGTTAAAAAATGAACGATTAATGAGATCGCCTTTAGAAAAACTCAGCATTAATGCTTTTCACCGTCGCTTGTCCTCGGTGCAGAATTGTCGTCGATTAAAAAACGTCACTTTTATTCCGATCACAATGCATTAAAGTAGTCGAATAAAATACCAAGAGCAGAAAATCCTGGAAAAATTAAAAGAAACTGATTTCTCATTTTCGGAGCTTGTCGATCGTACTTGACCGACAGCGAGTATGAAATGATCATCTTGTAGCTCGAACGGACGTGTTGTAAGTCGATCTTATTGATTGCGACGAACCATATGGCTATAGGTTTCAGGGTATCGCCATTTCCGTGGTCTACAGACACCGATCCGTTCGATGGAAGTCGATCGTTCTTATCTTGCTTGTATCGCGAAAATTATAAGTCTGGAGTTTAATTTGCATGCGTTCGGTGTGTAATAGTTACCAGAGAAATTTATTCTTTTATTTTGTTCATTTTTCATTGAAGCTTTAGTGACATATTTGTGTTATTTTATAAAGTTATTTTAGCTTTAGTAAAATCGGTTATTATTTGCTATAATTAACAACCAATTATTTTGAATTAAGAATATCGACAAGACATTTATGTAATTATTTTCATTGAACTTTAAGCTTCAAATTGATGTATCATTGATGTATCAAAAATTTAATATTTCCAGCATTTCTTTATTTGTATTCAATATTTTTGGTACACCTTGTATGCCCACGAAAGTATTGAAAGGGTTAAAACAGGAAAGAGATCGTGCACCATCACTATTTTTACGATCGCTTTTACAATGCTCGGTTCTGCGGCTGGTTTTGACTGGCCATGCTCTCCCAGTTTCATCTTTTTCGTTTCTTTTCGTGGCCGATCCTAAACTGGTTCTCTCGAGATCGATACCAGCTCGGCTATACACGCAGATTCTTCGACCATCGATAGATAGTCTCCTGCTCGTCGTGTTTGATCTTTCATAGGTTTGTTGCGTAATATCCTTCGATACAGCGAAATCAGTTTCTCAATATACTCCAGAGATCACAACTTCCGATGTCATAGAAATCATTTAATATTGCGCCATATCACGGATTAAACATACTCGTATAATAATATAAAAGAAAAAAATAGAAAAATATTGTTTCGAGCACCATTACTGTTATAGTTAGTTACAATGCATATTGAAAGCTTAACATTTTTTAAATTCTTAATAATTAAAGCTATTATAGAATAGTAAAATTAGAAAAATATTATTTTGAATAGCATTACATATTATTATATTAATAATGGAAAATCGGAAATTCGATGATTGAAATTTGAAATTTTTTAAATTAGCTATATCCATTCATAATTAATAAATTAATGAATTTGACGTGGCAAATATTTTGATTTCCGATCATAAAGGGTTGGATCGTTAACCTAAACAGTACCGTATAATATACAAAAAGATATTATTAGGATAATATTCGATATGACGAAATAATAGCACCTTTGACTACGAAAACATTCTACATAAGTAAGTAACCTGACGTTATAGTAAAAGTATATAGAGTTTTGGCCACGCATATGAATTTGCCAGCAGAAATACATTGGTTCGCGAGTTATGCCACTTGAGGTGAATATCTCTTGTTGATAGTGTGCCGCTGCGAAGCCTGTATTTATATAAAGTGATCCTGTCAGGGGGCCAAAGTTCTTGAAGGTATAATTAAGCTCGAGAGCCGCGCTGAAAACGCGATCTTTCTTGTTTCTATTACGTTCGATGGTAGATTTGGAACGAAACACCGTTCTAGAGAAATGAACGGGTTTGTAATTAACCAGCAAACTTACATCGAATGATCTACATATAACACGGTAATGGTTACAAAATGAGGAAAAATCTGTAACTATAAAGATCGTAATAAAATAATTAAAATAAATTCATTTGTAACCTATAGAAATAATATAACTCCAATTGGAAAGTAAATCGAGATGGAAATATAGATCGAGAGATAATAGTTGTAATTTTAATTTTAACGATAAATAGGGTGTTTCGAAGGAGCTAATCCACAGCGATAAAAATACGTATCACTGTCAGCGTGAAATCGGTACCACGAGAAAAACACTCGCTCTCACGATAGCGATATTATTATGATAAAATCAGATCGCTAGCGGCGTTGGTTATGAACTGGATAGAAGGAGAGAAAGAAGAAGAAGAAGAAGAAGAAAAAAAAAATGATTCTTGGAAGAAAGAAATTCATTATGAGAGTTTGTCTGTCACGAGGCGGCAGATGTAGCCGCGTAGATTTATGCTCGCTGATGGAAACTGGGCTAGCACGATGGAACAGAAGAGATAAAAGACAGCAGGCGCATCGCCACTTGTTGCGTTCAGCCGGGAAATAGGAGAAATTTCTTCATTCATAAAACTCAAATCAGCATTCCGCTGAACGACGGACTATGAACCGGCGGCAATTAACGATTGATCGTTCGAGCGAGGAATTATTTTTGCAAAATGATCTTTAACCAGTGGCGGCTCTTAAGAATTTCTAATTTCTTAAGAATTAATATAGATTCAAAAAACAATGAAAATAAATGTAATTATTTAGATACTAGAAGAGCTGTCACTGTTTAATTTCAATTAAAAAATTAGTATTTCTTAGCATCTGAAACATAATTAATTAAAATTTCAGGAATCATAAATTATACAAAATGCGCAGTCATCGAAGTGATGAATCGCAAAAATAAATCATACGATTGAGTGCAGAGATAAAAATGACCCGTCCAACGCGTTAACTTATTTCCAATGGAAAAAAATAGGGAAGCTAGAGGCGGATGAAAAATTTCTGCGGCGATACGTCGATTTATTTCCGCACGTGCTGTTTGCACGCTTGTCAGCGACAGTGTTCAACCAGCGATTGCGCAAATTTCAACGAATAAGACGAAGGACATGGCACAACGCTCCGTGCAGTCCCTTTCAAACGCACGAGGACAGATCTTGTTCGTATTGCGTTACGCCGCCTGCGTTTTTAAGCTTCCCGTTCTCGATTCAATCCGTCTCTTGAATCACCGTATTGTCCCGGCCGAGAACGTCTTTCCGATGACATTTCGCGTTCCGCCGAGTAGAGAAACGGATGAAAAGATTTTCATGGTAAACCGTGCCGCCGGAACGTTCCAAGTAATTCGATGATGAGCTCGATGCTTGCAATTAGTTACATCAGAAGCATTTCCACGAAACTTAGATTTCAAGCCGACGTTGTTTCGGTTATTCTCGTTTAGAATTGCTATTCTATCGTTTGTCGAGGTAGAATGTCTAATTGTAAGATGTAGGAAGACTTTGATTTACATTCAAATATTAACTCTGACAATTGGGTCTCCCTCCATGGTCCGCCGTCCTAGGGTTAAGAATATGACAAGCCTGACTAATTATTTTCTAATTTAAAGATTTGGTCATGAATAATTTCCATAGCAGTCAATTAACACTTTAACTCTATAAAATAACAATTAAAAAATTGAAATTATTCAGGACATTGACTTTTACAACGCATGCCAATGAAACGTAACTCTATTTTGCATAATTTTCAAAATGGTCTACTGTATGGTAAACAAATCACTTGATCTGAATAGTATATTCTGGTAGTGTAAAGCAGGTTTAAGGGCAAGTACATAGGAGCAGGGTGTCTTAGCGCCAGGTAAAAGGGAGGGGTCGAGTACACCGGTAATACGATGCTCCTCCGGATACACAAGCATCGCGGTGGGCGCCTGTCGCCTGGCTTTTATACTTCTCTGCTTGTTTCGCTGTCCTTGATATCCTTCTCTCTCTCTCTCTTTCGACGTGTACAATTATGCTCGTTTTTTTTCTTCCTTCTTCAACTCCCTATTCCTTCAATGCTCCATCTTCTTCTGTCTCTCGAGTATACCGCACCCGTTGCCCTGTTTCTCTTCGCTAGTGATGGGATTGATACGATACACATTGATGAGATTCAAACAATTTGATACTCGAGTACCCCGTAAGAAATATTAAAAGTGAAACATTAAAATAATAATAAAATTTATAATATTAGAACTCTGTTATTTTTAGAATGTTATTCATAATAATACATGGGTGATATTTGAATTTCCATAAAAATCCATCGTCCATGTTATTATATAAAGAATTTTGTTACTTATCTAATTAAAAATAGTTATTCAATTCGAGAAATTGTGGATATTAATTAAAAAATATTAGAAAACAAATATTAGCTATTGTAAGTAGATATACCTAACCGGGCTCGAATCTGTTAATTATCAATTTTGTCACATTGCAACGGAAACAAATTTCTCACTCGATTTTCTACCGATCCTTAGAGGATATTTTCAATTATTTTCTAAAAAAATGAATATTAACGTGGTATTAATCCC